CGTTCGCTGACGTGAGTTAACCACCGATTGTCACATATTTTATGATAATTTAATCTATTGTTTGTTTGGTTATTATTTAGGCGTTTGTCTTAATTTATGCCATCAATGATAAGAACTCATATGTAATTGTCGATCACATCAAGAAAGCCATTGATAGACATAAAGACAAAAGAGATGTATTAATGATATGACGAAAGATGTGTTAATTGGATGTAATTAAGTGATGAATTGCTTTAAACAGATGCCAATCGTAACGATTGGCACAAAAGTGGACAGATTTCGGGAACGAGAAGTGGATTTCGACGAATCTCAGGGTTGGGCTCAACGGGAAAAGACCCGTCTGTTTGAAGTGACGGCCACTGAACGCAAATCATTGATTGAGCCGTTTGTCTATTTGGCTTCAAAGCTTAATCCACCACAAAATAAGACAACTTTCCCTCAATTACACAGAAAAAACAAAAGCGGAAACATTTTGGGTTCACTTGAGTTATAGTTATATACGATTTGATGAAAGGAAACAGCATTTTGTCAGTATTTTTATATAGATTTTTATTAAACATTAGTTACGAAACAAATCTCAGATTTATTGATACGAAGCAGAAAATAATGGTTACAATTAACACAGTATTCACCTGTAATTCGCTGTAAATATCAGTTCAAAACATTTAATCATTGAAGCGTTTATTTTTTGCTGTTTTAAAGTAAAACTTTAGATATTTATTGTTTGAATAATTTTAAAAGTATTAGAAAAATGTTATGTAAAGAGAAGTTGTGTTGATCTCTATATTTATGGAAAATATTTTTATAGCTGTTATGTCTAAATATTAAGCTCTAGTTTTTAACTAAAATCAAATCTTTCACTCATTCAATAATAATGCTATCATTAAATATGTTTAATAAATAATATTTTATTGAATTCTCTTTCAATACAGACAATGGTTGACTGAATGAACATTTTATAGTATATTTTATATTATGATTGCTCTCAAAATTATTCAATGTTTAATCAATGTTTGAAATGCCAATCAGTTTATTTTTAACGAAATACAGTATTTATTACATCTTTATTACTAAAAATTATCAAATATTTAAATCTTAAAAATTATTTTTCATAACCTATTGAATGTTTAAAATTATAAAAACTATTATTTTGGGAATAAAGGCTTATATGAATGTTGGTTTCAATGATAATCCCATTGAATAATGTATTTTAAGAAATGATATCAAATGGGTTATGCATTGAATACTGTATTTACTATGAATTGTATATTAATCTATGGTTATATTTGAAAATAATTTCTTAATTACAACAAAAAATACAATAAAAGAAAACATTTATTTAGAATGAATAAAAATAAAGTGATTAATCGTATGCTAATTATCAACACATTTTAAT